ACAGAGATACTGTACTGTTTGAAATTAAGTATTTGTAATTCATTTTTTTAATTAAAATTATTTTTTATTTTAAAATTAAATTTATTACCTTTGTAACTCCTAGAGGGCACAGGTACTTGCCAGGGAGTAGGTGAGGGAAAAGGTATCCCACAATGGGGTGTGGTCACGCCACAATCCCTTTAGTTCAGCTTCACAGTCTTGTCTAGAGTTTGGGCAAGGGGTCAGCAGGTGGCGGGGTAGTTAAAGTGCTGGACTCCCATATGACTAACTGCAGTTTGAGTCATGGACCTGGTGGTCTGGCGTCTTACTTTCTTATTTTCTCTATCTCTGATGAGTGCATGAGCCCTATAGCACATTTAAAATAATAATAATAATAATAATAATAAATAAAATTAAATAAGTAATTCTTTATTGCAAAAAGAATTTGGGCATATATGCACATGTATTCCACATGCTTTTCAAGCTGTAGGGTCCAGTCTTGAACAGAGGTCAGCTATAGGGGATCCAGCTCCCTTAATCGGTAGATTATGGGACCAACTCTAATTTTATTTTATTATCATGATTTCTGGTTTATTCATTTTGACATAGGCTTAACTGTATGCCTGATTTCAGTAAAGACTAATCGTGTACTTCATCTTGATCTTTTCAGCTCACCTAGAAATATTTATTGCTTATGTTATGGTGTCATTTTATCCCATTGATTTGCAAATTGCCATGGTCGTAAGTGGTGTGACCTTAAGTAAACTTTAAACTTATTTATTGTTATTTTTATTTTTTATATAATTATTTATTTAATTTTACTTATTCATTCATTTATTTTAATTTGACCAGAGAGAGACAGAGAGAGAGAGAGAGAGAAAGAGAAAGTGAGAAAGTAAGCCAGTAAGCCACCAGGTCTGGGACTCAAACCATGGTCGACCATATGGGAGTGTCCAGCACCTTAACCACCACACCACCTGCTGGTCCCCTCAGTAATTATTTTATGTTGGTGGAATCTTTTGGTAGCTGTTATTGAGGAGAATGGTTTTTGCAAACGTTGATTTTGTTTTGTTAAAAAAAAAAATAACCACACTTAGGAAACTAACAGCCATTTTTATTTCTATCTGGACAGATTTGGAGGCCAATCACTGCCACCTTTTATTTCCCTGTGGGTCCAGGAACTGGATTTCTTTATTTGGTCAATTTATATTTCTTATATCAGTATTCTACACGACTTGAAACAGGTATGTTATCCCTAGTTGTTTAAAGTATTGTTTCTTTCTAATCTAGTAATCCATGTGGACTTAGTTGGAAGAATTTTGAGGGCACTTAGAATTATTTAGAGAAATAGCATAAAGATGGTGCTCAGGCTGGGACTCTTTGGGGCCCTTAATTATTCAACTTTTAATCCTCAACCAGCATGAGGTATAAGTAGCAGAGTCACCATTGTAGAAGTGAAACCAAGAGTGGATCTGAGTTTTCCATGTCTTGCTCTTCTCTTCAGTGGCAGAGCTGGGTGCCTCTCACTTATTTTATTCATTTCTTTCTCAGAGTGGTCCTTAGACTTTACGAGGTGACATCGAAAAGTTTGTGCAAAAAAAAAAAAAGTTTGTGCAAAAATGGAATTGAAGTACAAATTTATTTTGATGCAAAATTTTTTTGAGAGCCATGCTTGCAAAGTTTTTTTTTTTTTTTTTTTTTTTTAATTATACGTACTTGCCATGAACTTTTTGAAGACCCCTCCCTTGCATCCCTCCCTTGCAAACTTGGGCTGGAATGTACATTTCGTATGTGTCTCCTAGATTGGATGTATGTAATTCAAAGACTTATTCTCTATAATTGAAACACTTAACATTAAAATAAATAGCTGGACTTAATAATGTGATAGTTTATTAGGTATGCCTACCTAAATGGTGTTATAAATAAACTAAAAATATTTTTTAATAGTATCTTACTGATTTGTTATTTCTGACAGTATCTTACATGCTTTTCTGAGTTGCTTGTACTTAAGAAGCAATAAATGATACACTGGGTCAAAATGTGAATGTAATTTTGCTAAATCAAAATTATTTTGAAAAGGTTGTCTGGCTTCAGAGACTATAAACCTGCTGACTATTAGATTGGGATAGAATTCTGAACCACCACCAATCTAAGTCAGTGTTCAAATGTTTGAGAATTGTACATCAGTCAATCAACTTGGATATAACTTCAGGGTAATGGTAGATTTTCGCAGTTGGTGCCAAATACAGTTTTTCCTTGAATTGGCTTTGGCTACTTTTTAAAAAAGAAAGTGAGTATTCTATTAATGCAAAGTGTATGATTGTAGACTATTACTATTGGGAAGGTCCTGGGCCCTGAGTTTCACAGAGTAAGACTAGAAGATGGAAATAAAGTGACCTGGCGGAGGTGAAACTGACAGTGAGGCCTCTCACCACATCAGGGGTTTAACCCGTAAATCTACCTGCGTATATGATTTTCATTCTCCCTTGGTCCAGTTCATCCTGGATTATGGTGCTGAGTTGTTTAGCATTCTACTTTTCTGATATTACTAATTTAGGATTAAGTTATTGGAGTAAATATATATTTTTTAAAAATTTTTGCCAGAGGGGTACATGTACTTGCCAACTTGGGTGGGGGGGAGAAGGTGGAAAAAGCACCCCCCATGGGGAATGCCATGCCACAGTTCCTTCTACACAGTTTGTCCCTCCTTTCAGGATTTTGGGCATGTAAGCACACATGCCCAGCACATTACTCAAGTGCCATTCTGGGATGTTGAACCCCATGGGCAGCATGTAGATCCCACTCATATAACCACCAGGCCATGGATTAGCTCAGTATTTTTTTCTTTTTTTAAATCAGTAGTAAACTCTAAATTAAGTGTGGATCATCGGTGACCATGTACTTGACATTTTATTTTACTGTTTTTTAAAATTGCCAGAAGGCATATGCCTTTACCAGAGAGAGACAGAGATAGGGAGAAAACACCCACAATGGGGTATGGTCATGTTATAATCCTTTCTCCATTTCTGTCCCATTGTGATTTGGGGCATGAATGTTTTTTTGCCAGGCATGTTTTTCAAGCCTCTGGGACTGGGATTTGAACTGCATTTGGCCGTGTGGAATCTAGTTCCCTTGACCACTAGGCCACAAGGCCAGACCATACATTTTCATTATGAAAAATTTCAAACTTATAAAATTCAGTGTTGCACAACTATCACCACAATCTAATTCTACAACATTTTCATCACCCCCTGAATTAAATGCCTGAAGTGATTACTTTTTATCCCCTTCCTCTGGCAACCACTAATCTGCTCTCTGTGTCTGTGGATTTGCCTGTTCAAGAGATTTCGTAGTCCTTTTGTGACTAACCTTTCTTTCACTTAGCATAATAGATTCAAGGTTCACCAGTGTGGTAGCATGTGTCATTGTGTACCCTGTTTAAGCATTACTCAGTCTTTTAGCCAGTCCTGTTTTATCTGTCTCATGACTGTCCTTCCCAATTATTTGAAACAAAATGCCAGACACGATACCATTTCATTATTACATATTTTAGTATTTATCTCTGAAATATAAGGATATAAAAAATAATTCTAAAGCTGACTCTGCACTGGATCCCACGTGGCTGACTGCACGGTTCCAATCCTGAACCCAGCAACTTGAGGAACACACTAGACACGTGCATGTGTGCCCAAAATTCTGAAAGAACAGAGAGATGGGAGAAAAGAAATTCCATTGTAACCATGCCCTAGAGGGGATGCTCCTCCACCATCTCTCTCTGGAGCATGTGTACCTGCTAACCAAAAAAAAAAAAAAAAAAAAAAAAAACCCTGATACTTTTATTAAACCTAAATGGCGATAAATAAACTCATGACCACTTCTTATTTCTACTGCTCTTTTCTTGCTTACTCAAGGTCTTTGAACCCATTTACCTGTCCCTATTACCTAGTCAGTTAACACACTAATTTGTAATATTCTGCCTGAATTAACATTTAATTAACATTCTGCCTAATAAACATTTAAGACAAATCTCTGGGATAGTTAGGCTTTTGGTTTCTTTTGTTCGTTTTGATTCTTAGACGTTGCTGTCTCATTCCCTACTCCTCGGTCACACAGCATTTTTAAAACAGCTTTATTAGATATAATTCATGTACCATACAATTCACCCATCTAAAGTATACAATGTAATGGTTTTTAGTGTTTTCACAGAGTTGCACAGTCATTATAATCAGTTGTATAACATTTATAACCCCTAAAAGAAACCGCATCCATTACTTTCTGCCTCTTTAGATTTGCTTATTCTGCATGTTCCCCATAAGTGCTCCCACACAGTCTGTGGTCTTTTATGACTGACTTCTTCCGTGTAGCGTGATGTTTAAATGTTCTTCTGTGTGGCATGTAACAGTATTTTATTCCTTTTTCTTGCCAAGTAAGATTTTGTTATGGATATACCAATTTTGTTTATCCATTCATTAGTTGATGGACTGGACATTTGTCCTAGCTTCAGTTTTTGGTTTTAAGGAACAATGTTGCTTTATATTAGTATATAGAGGAACTTTTGAGATCATTCCATTTAAACCTTTTTATTTCACAGACAATAAAGCAGTGGTCCAGACAGGGCCCAAAGCTCAAAAAGCTGTGAGATAGCACAGCTGAGACCGGAACCCACGTTTACTGATTTCCAGTTCTCTCCCCACTCTACAGCCTCAAGTTAACATTTTTGACAAAATGTTTGCCACCTGCATGTTTTTCTGCCTGCCTAAATCGTTAAGTATATGTAGCGTTGACTTATTTATGAAGTTTGTGATTTGAACTGGAAGACTGCAATTTGAGACCACTTAATTTGTAGATTCCCGGTTGTAAGCATGCCAGATAGTGTACCAATAGTACTGTAGTTTATGTGATTACAGTATTTTAAGTACTAAATCTAAAGAGGCACAAAGCCAAAGCCACATCAAAAGAAGCACAACTATGATTAAAATTTAAAATTTTGATTGAATTTCATCACAGGGATTTTGTATTAGAGCACGAAGCATTTTTCACACTGTGGTTGAAGTGTGCCTTTGAGGTAATGAGGGAGAAATAAAGGAGAACTGGAGAGATTTTCGCCGGAAACCTATTTTCTTTGAGATAGGTCTTTCTGTCTTTTTGATGCTGTCTTTTTTTTTTTTTATAATCCACTAGCTATATCATGTAACTGTGATGCGGTGTGGTGGAGAGAGGGAGGGTAACTTTTGAGCTAGAATGGGCTTTCATTTCTGTTCTTTTCTCTGCTTCTCTCAGAGCCTTCTAACTGGATGTATTAGGCCAGGCCTTTGGTGATTGTCCTTCCTGGTAATATGCCAGGACCTGGTATAGGGTGCAGTACAAGACCAGAAAGCTCATAGCTAGACTTCTCTGTGGTTGGTTTTAACAGCCATGTGACATGGTCATGTGACTTGATTTCCTTGTCTATAAGAGGGTGGCCTACATCCTTCTGCTCTACCACACAGAGGCAGTATGAGGAATAAGAATTAGAGGCTGTAGAAAGGTTTGACTGTCCCTTTATTCTGTCCCCCCTCCCCATTGTTTTGCCTTACTAAAGTGGAAGCTCCTGGAGGGCAGAGACTGAATCTTAGTATCTAAGCCCAGTGCTGAACAAGCGGTTGTGATTGTGTCTAACAGGGATGACGATGATGGTGATGAAGTACTTGCCAGCAGTCATGCTGGAGGAGACACAGTGGTCAGCAAAACGGGCCCATTTGTCCTTTGCCAAACTTATGGTCTGGCGGAGGGAGACGGGGATTAACCAGGTCATCACAAATGTGTCCATCGGGCCATGACGAGAGCCACGACGAGAGCCACGATGGCAAGGCTGACAGGGAGCCGGGGTCTCACTGGCCTTAGGGCTGAGGGGCCTCAGTAGCTGTGGCACTGACCGTCCTGTCCTCCCTTTGGGTCTTTTGTGGCCTGTGGTAGTCAGAACATGCCACTGACTACAATTCAGTTAGGAGAGCAGATTCACCCGCTCAGGTAACTTAGGGTCAGGCCTACTTGAGGACAAGGTTTAGATGTTTTTTAAAATGCACTTTTCTTGAGAGGAATGACTTTTAAAATATTCTCATTTGGGCTGTCTCTATAACTTTTGAAATGTTTCTCTATATAGATGTAACATTGTTTTGAAATTCTGAACCGTGACATTTGGCTTATTTTTGTTTCCAGGAGCTTTTGATGGGAGGCCAGCAGACTATTTATTCATGCTCCTTTTTAACTGGATTTGCATCGTGGTATCCTTCAGTCTGTTATCATGAGCCAGAAATACACAATTTTTTTTTTCAGGTTTGGGGAAATAGACAGTATTCTATAAAAATATCAAATTACAGTATTCGCATCTTTGTTGCCGACAGTTTGTAATTAAGAATCAATAAAGTCCTTTTAAAAAGCTGTAGTAAATCATGCAGCCCATGAGAGATGCATTCTCACTGTTGCCTTTGTGGGATTTTTCCACATTTGGTTGAGTTTTATTACTGTTCCCTCTGCTCGTTCTCAGTTCTCTGCGTTCTCATGGGTGACAGCTTGTTAACTGAAGCACAGAGACGTTCTGTGCCATGAGACAGCTCTGCAAATCTGTGGTCCTTACCAGAAAACTAATTTACAACCAGCAATTTTTTTCTGACTTCATTGCTGTTCTTCTTTTGGGGTCCTAAATAGTAATTCAGCCCCTCTCTAAAGTCCCCAGCCCTAGGAAAGGGCACAGTTTGTCTCCTGTTTGTATCCACTGCAGTTGTCAGCAGCCTTCAGGACTGTGGGATGCTTGCAGCTGGCAAGAGCTGCAGAAGGGCCTGAGGGCTGGATTCCTGGGCAGACAGGGTGAGCTCACAGTAGCCCTTGGGCCCAGCTGTCATTTAAACTTGGCTAAGCACTAGAAAATGTGGCACTTTGGATGCCCTTTCCCCTCCTTTAAGGGCAGAAAAAAATTGTTTGGGATTATAATGGTGCTGGAGAGCCATGAATGCAAGTAGAGTCATTGGTATCAGAGGGTACACACTTTTCCATTCTGTTTGAAGGAGAGTTGCAGAAATGCAGTGGCAAGGGAAGGAAAAGAGGATGTTGCCCAGTGACCCACTGAGTCATTTGCCAAAGCTTTAATTTTGATAATATCTTTGTCATAGGGTAGTCTAGTAGGGCAGTCATAAGGAAGATTATTAGGTACCTTTGGGTTCTGGAACTTTAAAAAAAATATTTTATTTAACTTTATTTATTATTATTTTCCAGTTTGATGAGAGAGAGAGAAAGTGAGAAAGCAAGCCACCAGGTCTGGGACTCAAACTATGGTTTACCATGTGGGAGTCCAGTTCCCTTAACCGCCACACCATTTGCCAGCCCCTGGGATGTTTTAAAGAATCCGAAGTATAAAAAAGTGTTTTCCCTCAGAACACTAGCATTAAATTAACTTTTAAATGGCAGAACTAATCAGACTAGTCTTGCCTAGGTACAGAGTGCTTTGTTTATGCCTATTCTTTAACTTTATCAACCAAGATTACTGGCTTAGCAATGGATATGCAGGTAAGTGTCTGTTTAAACTATCTAATTGCTCTTTTATAGGTTTCAGATTTACTATTAATGGCCTTTGGCAGAATTGACAGAGTTAACTATGTGGTTAATTTTGTGGTATTTTGGAAGTATAGGATTATAGCTCTATTATCTTGGTGATTTTAAGTCTTTTTTTTTTTTTTTTTGGAGAAGTTTTGCTATAGGGCATGTGTGCTCTCCAGAAAGACAGAGAGGGACAGAGAGACAGACAGTGAGAAATCACCCCCTCCAGGGGGATGGCCACACCACAATCACTTATCCTCCATTCTCTCGGGATCTTGGGCACACATGCAAAGGTGCCCGATGTGAGTTTAAGCTACTGGGTCCGAGACTCGAACCGTGGTCAACTACATGGGAGTCCAGCAACATAGGCCAACTGCTGGTCCCAAGTCATTTATTTTCAGAGATTTTATGTGAAGTGTCTAAATCGTTGCTTTTCTTGCTTATGGCTGGCTTCTTTATTCCGTTTGAATATTGAGAATAATGGTTATAGTATTTTTTAGGCATGTTTGTGGGTAAATATATATATTTTTAAAAACCACACTATTTACCTATTTATTTGTTGTGATTTTTTTTATTTTTTGGAGAGGTTTTTTTGCTATAGGGTGCGTGCGCTCGCCAGAAAGAGAGAGACATAGAGACAGGAAGCGAGAAAGCGCCCCCCAGGGGCGATGGCCACGCTGCGGTTCCGTCTCCTCCTTTCTCCTCTCGGGATCTTGGGCGCACACACACACACACGTGCCCAACGTGAGTTTAAGCCACCGGGTCCGGGACTTGAACCGCTGTCGACTACGTGGGAGTCCAGCGACAGAGCCATTACGTTAACTGCTGGTCCCTGTTATGATTTTCAAGCCACCAGTCCAGGACTTGAACCCCTTTCAGCCTTGTGGGAATACATTTTTAAAAATTAAAATTGTATTGCAAATAAAACTGCATTGCCTCCTTTTTACAAGTAACAGAGCTTGATCCCGATCTTTTTGGATTGGGTTGTATTTTTTTTAGAAGTTTTTGTAACACTCCTTGTTGGATAAATTAAATATCAATGTATAATTCTGATTAATTAAATTGTCTAGCTTTTGAATACCTGTGAGAATGTTTTTGGAGGGCAGGGGTAATAAGCATAGCAGATTTATGTGAACCTTACAAGTGCCTCCAGGGCCTGGCTTTTACATGTTGACTTCTTTTGCAGTTGCTGATGATTCCCCTGATCATGTCAGTTCTTTATGTCTGGGCCCAGCTGAACAGAGACATGATTGTATCATTTTGGTTTGGAACACGATTTAAGGTACTCTTCCTCAGTTGGAAAAACTTCCTTTTCATTTGCCTTTGCAGAAATCTCTCAGCTTAGAGATGTACTTTCTGACTCATCCAGAAGAGGTCACTGCAGAGCAGTGTACCGTAGGCGAGCCCCCTTCACCCCTCCTTAGTCCCAGCTCTATTTCTGTAGCCAGTGCAGAGTCCCTTGCTGTTACTTCACTCTCTCCGCACCCCAGACCCCTCAGGCATACATCCCTGAGTGATCTCAGGTATGTTTGTGTGTGTTAGAGAGAAGAGAAAAGATACTCCTGTGAAACCCTGTTTTTTACAGTCTGCCTGCCCCACTCCCTGTCATGTGCTTTATGCTTTAGCTAAAACAGACTATTGGTTTGTAGGGAAATCTTACTATTGGGTCACAGGGAAATTCATGACGCATTTTTGCATAGAAAAATACATCATGCCTTTCCTGATATTTTTTGCTCTCAAATACTTCCTTTTGTACTGTGTCTTAATTTTCCATGTATAACACCTTTCTAGTTCTCTTCATATAAATCTTCACCTTATTTTCGTTTCATTCGTGACCGAGTGCATGTATGTGCATGGGAGAGTGAGGGAGAGAGAAGACTACCCTCCGTGGACTTTGGTCATGCCACTTCCTTCAATCCTCCAGCCAGTGGGATCATGGCTTCTCTTGAGGAGCATGTCATACTTCTGCACCACAAGCCACCCCTCTTCCTTGTAATTTGAGTTGAGACTGAACAACTCTATGAGTCTCCTCCTGCTTGGAATTCGTGTCGTGTTTGGGGCTTTTTCAGTACTTTGTGTTCCTCTCATAGTACTTACCATATTTAGCCTTGAAGTTGCGTGTAACTGTCTACGATTTTTTGAGTTCCTTGCAAGTCTCTTAGCTCTTGATGCAATGTCTTGAATCTGGTAAGGAGCTCAGAAATTGAATTCATCTGGAGAGCTTTCTCATTTGGGAGAGTATTAGTTTGAGATTTCAACATGTAATGAGATAATTCATAGTAATTTTTTAGTTTTTTTTTTTGTTTTGGAGAGGTTTTTGCTATAGGGCGTGTGCGCTCGCCAGACAGACAGAGAGAGACATAGAGACAGAAAGCGAGAAATCACCCCCCAAGGGGGATGGTCACGCTGGAATCCCTTCTCCTCCATTTTCCTCTCAGGATCTTGGGCATGCATGCACATGCACCTGGCGTGAGTTTTAAGCCACCGGGTCCGGGACGCGAACCACGGTCGACTACGTGGGAGTCCAGCGACATAGCCATTCGCTAACTGCTGGTTCCCAAAATTCATAGTAATTTTTAAAAATATATAAAAGAAGAATACACAAATATGAGGTAGTTTGAGTTTATTATAACAATTTGCTGATTGAAGTCTTGTGCCATTTTGTTATGTGCCATGTTTTTAGTAGCATCCATAAGACACCCATCTACTTTGTTTTGTTTTGTTTTTAAAGAATTATTTTAATTATTTTTTATTTTCCAATTTGACCAGAGACTGGGGGCGGGGAGAAGTGAGAAAGGAAGCCACCAGGTCTGGGACTTGAACCATGATTGGCCATGTGGGAAGCCCAATACCTTTAACCACCAGACCATCTGCCAGCCCCAGTACCCATCTACTTTCTGAAGCTATTGCTAGAGGGTGTTCCTCACCCCTGTCTCATCCTTATGTAGGGGTTGGTGGGTCCCCAAAAGGGTCAAAGTAAACTTTGCAGTTCCTGAGTGTCCTGCACTCTTGGGCTCATCAGGAAGATGGGTGAACTCCACTCCAGGGCCTCTGGGAGGCTTGATGTGGAGTGCAGGCTGGGGCTGAGCATGGGGACTCCCAGGAATTCCTAGACATCCCCCACCCCACCCCAGTCTGCAGGACCTGGCCTCATCTAGGGACTGGAGCCTGCCTGACCCCACTGCCCTCAGACTCCTTGTACACACTGCTGTTTTTAGTTTTAACTGAACAGGGTGTGTATTGCATCTGAACTATGGACAAAGTACTTTGCCCCTCTAGTTCCAAGAGGAAGTTTAACATCCAGTAGGAATGCTGCTAGATTGATCAGAGAGATCTGCATAACTTTCTAGTGGATTTATATAAAGCTCCTTTCAGCCTTCCTAGTGGTTAAATGTTCTTCAGATGTGGCTATTCATGTTTCTATCCGTTCTTCCCTAGGCTTGCTATTTACCCTGGGTTATCCTTGGATTCAACTATATCATTGGAGGCTCGTAAGTGATATTAGAGTTACTTAATTGGAAATTAATCCTTGGAAAAGGTCCATTAATTTTTATCCTTTTTCTTTAATTTTTATAAACCTTTGGAGAATCTCAACATTGATGTTTTAGAAACTTATCCTTATGAAATAATTTCATTTCAGTGTAATTGGTTAAATTATAGGGCTTTAAGCATGTTTAACGTGGAAGGTTATAATTTTGTTAGCTCATTATTAAACGTAATATGCTTCTATATATGTATGTTTTAATAAATATGTATTTTTTGATTTACTATCCACATTGAGCAAACATAGACCTAGTTTGCATCTGAGTTGACTTAAGAGCTATGCGTAAAATTTTTATGTCTTTTATTTTCAAGGTATTTCTAGAATGCCCTGAAAACTGCTCACCAGTCCTAGAAAAGGAGATTCTAGATGGGAATAGTTTTTTTTTTTTTTTTTTTGAGAGGTTTTTGCTATAGGGTGCATGCGCTCGCCAGACAGAAACAGAGAGACAGAAAGCGAGAAATCACTCCCCTGGGGGGATGGCCACGCTGCAATCCCATCTCCATTTTCCTCTCGGGATCTTGGGCACACACGCACATGCACCTGGTGTGAGTTCAAGCCACCAGGTCTGGGATGCGAACCATGGTCGACTACATGGGAGTCCAGTGACATAGCCATTATGCTTATTTCTGGTCCCGATGGGAATAGCTTTGTAAGTGGCTTTATAGTAGAGAAATGTTGGCCAAACAGGGTCAAATTTCTGGAATTAGAACTGAGATTGAGAACGTTAAGATGCAGCTAGGAACACTCATTTCTTATACTACAAATTATTTTCAAGAATTTAGTTTGATAGACGTTAATAGTACCAGTTTGCTGCGTGGCTGACATATTTGCACTGTGTGATGCTGACTTCTGCACGTTGATGAGAAGTGAGTGAATCGGGTGGACAGACTCTATTTCGCGTAGCACATTCTGAGCTGGGGAAAGTTGCTCTCCCACTCAGAAGGACAGGGTCTGGGAGTAGTTGGAGATGTTGATTTGTCTTGTAGAAATCATGTTTTGGGTGAAGACAAAGGATATATCGTAGACAGTGAATCTATAAAGTTGGAAGGTGACCTATATGTAAGGCAGGGAAAAATGAAGAAGGTCCGTGTTTATTTTGGGATTGCATGGTTGAAGGCCAGCTTTCTGAAGTGATCTCTGTGGTGCCTTACACTCAAGGGAGCAGGAGGTAAGAGAGAAGTGCCTAGTGGCCCGGGAATGGGAGAGCAGGCATTTATTGGCCATCTTTTCCGTACTCCCATGCTTCTCTCTGGGCAAGTTTTATCTTTGCCCACGATTTGCAAATGCAGTATTCATGATTGAAAGCATTCAGAAGTTGCTTTGCAACTTCCCCAACTCTTAAGGCAGGAAGTAGCAAGAACAATATTTTGAGGATGGGCTGAGGTTTGACGGAGATGTGAGAAGGGCTGCTGGCCTTGAGGGGCAGCAGTCTCCATTAGTTTGGTAGGACTGATTTCCCCTCTCCTGCAGAAAGCATCCTCCACTCAGACTACAGAAGGACTCATTATAGAGCTGTCGCAGACTCCCAGGGACTGTGAGTGGGCTGTAGTGAAGAATCTCTTCCCTGTGCTATTTGTTAAAACGTGGTGCATCTCACTTCATTGCTTCAGTGTCCTTAAACTAACGTGGCTCTCTGTTTGCAGGGTAATCAATGAGCTAATTGGAAATCTTGTTGGACATCTTTATTTCTTCCTAATGTTCAGATACCCAATGGATTTAGGAGGAAGAAATTTTCTGTCTACACCTCAGTTTTTGTAAGTGTTTCTTTCCTTTTTCACTTATCAGTCATTTTACTGCCTGTGCGTGTTTATGTGTATCCTGCTAAGAGCATAAGAGTGAAGATTTAACTCACTGTCTAATGAAGAAACATGAGGCAACAAATGACTTACCTTAGTCACACCATCACAGGGATCAAAACCACGGCTCAGTCTCCTCCATGGCACCCATTTAGCCAGGGACCACTGACGACTAGCTGCAGACATCACAAGAAACATGTCAGCGCTACCAGCTGACTGGTGTACATGAAGCTCTGCTGGTGTGTGAAGCTGGGGTGCTGGGCCAGGTACACTTTTTAGAGCATCAGTTTCCCCCCTAACTTTGGCTAAAGAGGGTGCTAGCAATTTTACTTGTCTTTATATCAAATATTATAGAAGAGAAATTTTATAGGACCGTTCACAGTTAAAATGAGTCTTGAGGTTTGTATGATCTCAACTCCCTGGGAGTCTATATTCATTCTTTTTATTTTTGGAGAGGTTTTTGCTATAGGGCGTGTGTGTTCGCCAGAAATACAGAGAGAGACAGAAAGACAGAAAGCAAGAAGTCACCCCCCACACACACCCCAGGGGAGATGGCCATGCTGCAGTCCCCTCTCCTCCATTCTCCTCTTGGGATCTTGGGCACGCACGCACATGCCCAGCGTGAGTGTAAGCCACTGGGTCCAGGACTTGAACCGTGGTCGACTACATGGGAGTCCAGCAACATAGCTATTACGCCAACTGCTGGTCCCTATATATTCATTCTTTATCTGATTTTTGGATTTACTCAAGTGAGGAGGCCAAAGGCAACAACTTTGCCTTTTTGAGATAGACTTGGATTTGAATCTACCTATTTGGGTTTTGGGCAAGTTATTTAAGGAAACCTCTAGACTTCGGTCTGCAAGTCCGTAAGTTGGGAGAAGCCCCTGTCTTATAGGACTGTGAGAGGCGTGATCCATTGTTGGAGCACAGGAGTGGGTACTCAGTAAGTGAAAGCTGTTCACTGTATTCCTAAAGTTGGGATGGGGCAGGATTTTGACGAGCTGAGAAGAAACGCTCACACACTTGAGCATGCAAATAGTATGACCATTTTGTCAGCGAAGCAAAAGGCTGTCGAAGAAGGGACCAGTTAAATCACCATCTGGGTGTCACAGCCTGCCTGGCAATCACGCCTAATCTCATGTTGGGGATGTGCAGTAATAGCTTGCATTTAAAAGCTTGGGGGGAAAAAACACACAAAAAAACCAACCACCCTTTTAAATCTTGCTCATTTAATGTTTGCAGTTCTGTCATTCTTCCAAGGGGTTAGTGAGGGTGGTTTATGTTTGAGTAGGCCCCCTCTACCTACCCACGTTCCTTTTGTAGGTTAGGGTATATTTTCAAAAGACGTTTGCACTATGAGCTCTAATAGACAGAGAAGTGCAGTACTTCTGTGTGTGTGATGTTTTTTCCTTTAAGAGAATAAAAAGAAACTTGTTTCTCTTCTGAGCCTTGGGTTGCCTTCAGGCTAAAAAAACAAATGACCAATCTGCTTTCTAATTATCAAAGGACATAATAACAGCAGGTTTGGATTTCTGATCTAGGTTTATCAAGAAGGATGGCAGATGCATCAATTAAAAAAAGCTCGGTGCTTGGGGGGCAGCCAAAATTATTTTACTTTAAATGGCCATGTTCTGACTTAACTGCTTGCAAGTTTTTCTCAATTGTAGGCAACAAAGTATATGAAATTCTGGGGGCAAAATCAGCAGCACACTGGAACCTGCCTTCTACTTGAGCTTTTCTGTTTGTGGAAGCCCTTCTGTTCAATTTTTGCATAAAGATCAGATGACAAAGTGTAGCCCCTTGCAAAAGCAGTAACTGCTTCGAGATTACCGTAAATTTTTGTTGATTATGTATAATTGGGTGTCTTTTTATACTAATTACTTGCATTTAATTCAGTATCTGCTTAAGCAGTGAAGATAGCTTCTATATTGTCTTAGAGAAAGTAGCAAAGCGAGACAACCCTAGCGTTGCCTTTTTAAAGTGTTCTATTTTGTTGTGTACCTTGGAGGAATATTATTGTACCAGACATCACAGATGCTGAAAATAAGCACTTGGAAATATATTTTGATTTAATGGTAAAGCAACATTTATTTAAAAGAGAAGAGGTTGAACTGTAGAATTCTAAGATGCATCAGTATTCTGCATTCCATTAAGAAAAGTATTTTTATTTTCTCATCTGTACACAATTTTCTATTTGAAAGGGTCACTGTGGCCAGCTGTGGTGTAGTGACAGCACACCACTCCACAAGGCTGAGGCCATATGGAATATTGGGGTTTGGTTCCTGGCTTGACTTGTACACGTAAGGGATGTGTTGTGATCTTGGTGACGGGGAAGGCTGGGATGAGGACTGCAGCGTGAGACTGTTACGGTGCTCCTCTTTCTCTCATTGAAGAAGTAAAGACTTAAAAGGGGGGGTGTCATTGTCTTTTGGGGGAAGGAGCATGTCGATGTTAAGGATGAAGCAAGTAAGTGAGGACTCCAGTCATTAACTGCTCTTCCATCCCAAGCAGGAGGCATGTCATATAGTAAGTAGTGCTGGTTGCAGGCTTTAGAGCCAGGTGGCCTGGGTTTGACTCAGCTGTCACTTTCCAAGAATTCCACTCAGTCTTGCCTCAGTTTTCTCATTGTAAAATGGGTAATGGTGGGGGCTACTACCTCATAGGATTGCTGTGAAGAGCAGATGAGTTTACCAGCATGCAGTGTCTGGGGCAGATGGATGCTTGGTGAAAGAGAAGTTCACGTAGCAGCTGCGTTAGTATAGGGCACACTCTTCAGGCTTTCTGCTGTGGGCAGAGGACCTGTTGTGGCTTACTTTCGGTGCCGAGAGAGGTTGACACAGGGCTATTGGGTTATGTTGTGCTTTGTGCCTTTACCTTCAAGCGGCATTTTAAACATTAGCATCTGAGAAGTGGAATTGTTCTAAGCACATTCTCAGTTTACTAATAACATAGTCAAGGGTGGGAAATAGTTTCAGAATGCTGTTGACAGCATAGGTTTAAGTTTGTGTAGCTGTTCTGTGACTCTTCTTAACTGTTAAGATAGGAGATCACCTAACCTTTTGAGCCTCAGCTTTGGCATCATATGAGATGAGAAGATTACAGCTGCAGAGGAGAGTATGAGTATGCTTTGAAAGCATACCCACCTCCCAGACATGCAGCCTTCTTCCCGAGAGCATTATGGAAATGCTGTGTGGGGCTCAAACACACAGGCTGTGGATTTGTCCTTGGAAAATAAATTTATTTTGTATCTTTCTATCCAGCTTGATCCATATTTAGGTATACTGAGATGCCATCAGTTGTTCTTTCTGGTTGCTGGGTTGCTGGGCTTGTGGGTGTAATATTTTTGTTTCCATACGGTTCTGCATGAATTACTGTTATAACCAGGAAAAAAAATGGTTAGAGTGTGAATATAACTGAAAGCTTAATAAATTGAAGAGAAATGAGAAGCAAGTGCCATCTGTGGTCAGGGCATTGAGCGAAGTGTGGAAAAGACAACGTTAAATAAGACATCCACCCTGCTTCCTTCACCTTGACAGGTGCCAGGGGCCACCAGGAGAGGGAGATGTGCTCGATGGTCGGGTAACTGCGGAAGTGACCTCGTTCTCACCTCTCGCTTTGTCTCCTTTCTGTCTGCTCTAGGTACCGCTGGCTGCCCAGCAGGAGAGGAGGGGTGTCAGGATTTGGCGTGCCCCCTGCTAGCATGAGGAGAGCTGCTGATCAGAATGGTGGTGGCGGGAGACACAACTGGGGTCAGGGCTTTCGACTTGGAGACCAGTGAAGTCAAGGCCTCTGGCTGCCCACCAGCCCTCTGCTCAGATGACCTTCCCTCCCAGTGCTGGGTGCGCTGAACAGCCGAATTCCTGCTACGCCATTGGACCTGACCCACACTGAATGTAGTCTTTGAGTACGAGACAACATTTTTTAAATCTCGAAGAAAAATATAAGTGTTCCTCAAGTTTCATGGTTCTCATTCAAGTCCTTACTGCTATGAAGAACAAATATCAACTGTGCAAATTTCAAAGCTGACTATATTTTTTTGGTGTTTTCTCTTCTTCCCTTTCCGTCGGAATAATGAGTTTTAGTAGGTCCTGGTCTGCTGGCACTGAGCCAGGCAGCTGGGGTTGGCAACCAAATCCTTGTCAGCAGGACTCTTATCTTTTCTTGCACAAAGGCCTCCCTCCCACTTTTCCCAGTTCCCAAACTTGCAGCTAGAGGAGGTTGCCCATGAAATGGTTTTGCCTTGGACAAGCCCTCTTATTTATTGATTTTTGCCAAGGCTTGGTCACAAAGAACTTATTCATAGTTTCCCTCCTTTGGTGGCAGAACTATAACAATAGGGGAGAAGACTAAAGCAGTGGATGAAGAGCTTCCTCAGCTTTTGGAATTGCTTCGAACTGATATCAGTTGCAACCATTTGCCACCTCTTCAGATGTTTTTATAAAAGTCACCTCTGAGTCAGTGAGGGCCATAGATTTATATTAATGAGGTTATAAGGGTTGTCGCTAGGCATTTTTTCCCTAAGTGGTCAAAACTATAGTGGAGTTGCATCTAACACAGGGGTTAGGTTTAGACTGTGGTGAACTTAATCCCTTTGTGTTTTGTAAGTAGGGTGTCTGACTTGTGTACCTAGTGTGTTGGGTTGTGTGTTGTGTTAGTCGTTTCCAAATCACATTGGCTACAGGGATGCTCTCTCGAGAGGTTCCTGGGCATTGATTCCATTTCATTCTCATTCTGCGTATATGTTCATTGAGAAAGTTGGAAGGGAGAACCTCCTACTCTTAAATTGTCCCCACCCCCACCTTTTGGTCAAGGATTCCCGTTCATTGTGAGGAAGGTGCATTTCTCTGTACGTAGAGCTTTTTTTTTTTTTTAAAAGCTAATAGAAACACATCTAAGTGAATCATATAATTTTGGGTTGTAATGGCTTTAGAACCATTTGTGTTTGAGGATCTTTATAGAGTCATGAATGTACAAGCTCTGTGAATCAGACCAGCCTAAATACCCACAATTCCGTTTTTCACAGGTGGACTTTTTCCATCAGAGCTCAGCTCATCACCAAATAAAAGTTTCTTGAAGGCTTTGTTGTTTCACACAATTCTTTTATTTTCTGTGTTTATTCTGGAAGGAGACAGTTCTTATTAGGGACAGTGTTGCGTGGCTGCCATGCTGAGTCAACCAAAAAGTCTTCAAACATTTTGATCATTTCTTTTCAGGAAGCGCCATGCTCTAACAGCATGCTATTCTTCCCCTCCCACTCTTAAATAGTGATGTGTGTTATGGTAGGAAGTAGGAGTTTGAAAGCAGCTCCTCATTTTTAATGAAGTTCATTTGTGTTCCCCCCATAGTTAATTTATATGATTGAAAATAGTCGGTGAGGAGAGTCAGAACCTCAACAGTCACATGTTCTGCTATTGACATGTGGCCGCAATAAAATCTACTTGTAAAATTTTAGAAGCCATTTCTGTTCGGTCGCATATACAGGGGTGGAGACTTAGTCTGTGTGAGAAGATTCTAGTGGTGAGCTAGGTCATGCACGTCCTCTTACCCACTCAGATGCCTGAAAGCAGTGGTTTTCCTAAAGGTTTACAGGTATTTAGAACTCTTCAGTTCTAGATAACATGTTCCTTAAATTATTTTTCAACATAGTTAGCAAGCTGATTATTTTATTGATCTTGTCTGGATCACCTCTTTCTGGGATAATTTTTACTAAAACAAACTATTGACTTTTGACTAGGCAAGAGAAGACCTGACAGTGGATTCTTTTTATGAATGGAAAAAAAAAATCCTTATTTTGTATAGAGGACTTCCCTTTTTGTAACTAATCATTTTTATTGGTAAAAACTGTAAATTAAAATGTACCACTTGAAGGTTGTCTGTGTTAAGTTTCCATTTACCTTTTATGAATGGAAAAAAAAAAAAAATCCTTATTTTGTATAGAGGACTTCCCTTTTTGTAACTAATCATTTTTATTGGTAAAAACTGTAAATTAAAATGTACCACTTGAAGGTTGTCTGTGTTAAGTTTCCATTTACCTGCCCTGCTTTCTTAGATATTGTGTGTTTTACGTAACCAGTCATCTCTTGATGAGCATTTCAGAAGTGTCCAGTATTTTTTGCCACTAGAGTGACACAGCAAACTTTTCTGTACTTGGCTTTGTTTACATGTTGGAAAATACCTGGATTAATACCTGCAAATTTTATTCCTGGGTTTTCATTTTAATGAAGCAGGATGCTCCCACACTGTGGGTTAGGAGTCCTATCTGATGGTAGTATACTTTCAAGTATTCCTGTGGTGTCTTGTCTACCCATTTGTCTGAGTCCTCAAACACTAAAGGAATTAGTTTAATCCCTTTTCGATGTAAAACCTACAGAGAGTGGTAACAGATGCCATGACATCCCTGAGCCTGTTTCTTTGAGGGTGAGATGCCCAAGTCTGTACCCAGGCCATGTGAAAGTTATTCCAAGTAAGGTGATGAGAGGGCTTTGCATCCCTCTTCTGTTACTGGGGAAATATCAAAACAATAGAAAGACCAAAGCCTACTTCTTTTGGAAGGCTAGGACATTGCCAATATCATTGTGTTCTAAGCTACCTTTGGAGTAGCACTGATCTAATAATAGGCAATGTTGCAGTTGCCAGCGCCTTCATTCATTGCCAACTTGGTTTCTCCCCTTTTTAAATCTTGAGCAGTAGGTTGATATTCTGAATAACAAGGTTTAACCTTTGGGAAATGTTACTCCTCTTTTCCTGGATTTGTAACTGTTAGTATCTGAACAAGGCCGAGTTGAACAAACATTTGTTTACTGGTAGTTTACTTGTTGCTTTCCAGAGTGGCTCTGGTCATTAGAATTGGAATTGTGGATGGGGGTGGAGGTAGCATGTCCTGTAGTTTCTTATGTTTCTGGGTTTTTTTCTCCTTCAATTTTGCCAGAGGACACATGTGTTTGCCAGAGATATGGAGAGAGGAAAAGTGAGAAAGCACCCTCTGTGGGAGACAGCCATGCTGTAGTCCCTTCTCCTTTTTTCCCTCCTTTTCAGGATTTTGCACATGTAAGCACGTGCATCTGGTTGTTTTTCACACCTCTAGGTCTGGGACTTGAACTGTGCAGTTAGCCATATGGGATTCAGCTGCCTTAGCCACCACACCATGGGTTGGCCCCTTATGTGTGTGGTTTAAGTGCAGGATGTCTTTTCACAAGCTCCCCTTATCTCACGGCACTTCTGTAAGGGTAGGAATCTCATCTTCAGGGACACCCCTGGGTATTGAGCATTAGCATGACAGATACTTGACAAATAATTTAAGACTCTGATCTGTGTTTTCCAGTCTGGCTATATGTGAGAATTTCTTGGGACTTTAAAAAAATGCAACCGTCTTGCATCATCCCTATTCAGTGTGTGTGTCTGTGTGTACACATGTGTGGTGTTTTTTAGAAAGGGTTTCGCCATATCCATCTGCTGGCTTCCCAGTTGGCTTCTTTTTAAAGAGTCTCTTGCCTCAGCCTCCCAAGTAGCTGGGACCACAGATGTTCACCATAGCCTTTGGCTTTTTAGGCTGAGCCAGGAATTGAACTTGGGTCTCCCATGTGCCTCAGCCTGCAGAACAGCAGTGTCTACAGCACTCCTGGCAGTTGGCCCATCCATTCTACATATTTAAAAAATGCTAGTGATTCTTGATATTCTGCTGAATTTGGGAACTGATGTTTAAACCAATTCGTGAGGTTGATAGTAGCACCCCCATTTTCCAAATGAGGAAATTTAAGACTCAAAGAGGTTAAATCAGTTCCTTAAGATCTAGGAGCTAGAAGGTGCCAAAGATAAACTATGAACCCAACTCTGAGTTAAGACCTTTGCTGCTGCTTTCCATTGAGGAAGCCAAGGCAAATGCAAAGGGCATAGCTTCCGTCTTCAGGGTATGTGATTTTCAGTGAGCAGACCGTGTGGCCTGCTATAGGTACTGGCATATTTGTCAAATAAGTGAACACGAGTACAGGCACGCCTCATTTAACAACCAAGTTCCATTCCTATGCTTAGGTTGTTAAGCAATTTGGTCAGTAAGCAAGAATAATAAAATCTGCCCACCCAAAAAAGCATAGATTAGTTAAGCTCCAGAAAGCAAAAACACACCACAACATGGTAATATATATCTGATACAATCATTTTTATTTTGAAAACTGTTATGAGTGCACAATAAAGTACAAATTTATAAATGAAATACATCGTTTTGCATGATTGCAAGCACTTCAGTAGCGAGTACTGACTGGGAACAAGACAAGGACCAAGGGTCGGAAGTCTAAGTGGTCATTAAACAGGTAGTTTATTAAGTGAGGAGGGGCTGTAATTGTTATACAGTTTGAAAAACTGCTTGAATAGAAAGAAGTCAAAACTTGTTTTGGACACAGGTTTGGTCATGAGAGATAGATCGACAATTCCAGGCTGAGGTAGGAGAGCAGCAACAATAGCAGCCAGGTAAAAGCTGCAAGTATAGAATATAGCCTGGGAGTGGCAGAGAAGGAGCCAGGAAAGGCATATTGGGCTTCATCTCAGCTTCCTGTTTGAACCGCAGTCTGGAGGCAGTGGGGAGCCAATGAAAGGTTTTCACACTTGTTCTTTAAAAAGAAGCCAGCTGGGAAGCCAGCAGATGGCATAGTGGTTAAGGTGCTGGACTTGCCTATGGCTGGTCACAGACCAGACCTAGTGGCTTGAAAATCATGCTGGGCACATGTGCGTATATGCCTCAAATCCCAGGAGATGAAAGGATTGTAGCATGGCCATTGCCCCCGAGTGATGATTTCTCACTTTCCCTCCCACTGTTTCTGTCAGTGGTGAATGCACATGCCCTATGGTGAAAACCTTAAAAAAAAAAAAAAAAAAAAAGCCAACTGGGACCAGCCAGTGGCCTGGTGGTTAAGATGGATGTATCCCACATGGCCAGCTAGTAGTTAGTCCTGTGATTTGAAAATCATGCCAGGCAAGAGGTAGAAGCAGCAGCAGGGAGACCCAAACTAAGCCCCTGGGCTTGAACTCATCAGCAGAGACCGCCACCCAGCCTGCTCTGGGGGAGAAAGAGCTCTCTGAACTTTAAGAACCAATACTGGGACCAGCATATGGTATAATGGTTACATCGCTGGACTCCCACATAGTTGTGGTTCGAGTCCTGGACCCGGTGGCTTAAACACACCACACACCTGTGTGCTCAAAATCCTGAGAGAAGAATGGGGGAAAAGGGATTGCAGCATGGCCATCCCGCCTGTGGGGGTGATTTCTCGCTTTTTGTCTCTCTGTCTCTCCAGCCAATGCATGTGCCCTATAGCAAAAATCTCTCAAAAAAAGAAAAACCCTGAAAAAACCAAAACCTGGTTCCTGCAATCCCAGAGACAGAAGAAGCAGCAGGGAGATCCTCAATCCCAGAGGTAGAAGGTAAGAGCTATTGTCCCACGTGGGCTGATGCTGTTCTGCCCCTCACACATCCAGGACCAACAGGCAGGCCCAAGCTAAGCTGCTTGGCTTGAGCTCATCAGCAGAGACCCCTGCCCAGCTTGCAATGGGGGAGGAGGGAGTCTCCATCTTGCATGACGTCGTTGCATGCCTGTGCAAAGTGGTCTACCATCTTACATTCTACCTGTCTGGACACAACCTCCATCCACGTTGGAAGCAGTTAGCTTTGGGTCTACAAAAACCAAACACTTGAAAATAGGAGACTGGAGAAATTCTTTCCCCATAATTCTCTTAGCAGTAAAACAAGAGAAGTAGCCCTCCGAAAACCTGAACTCCAAACTCCTACTATGGATTCCACACTTCCACCCATAGTAGAGGAGGGGAATTGGCAGGTTGTGCATTACCATTACGTATCGAGAAGTGCAAGAGCACACAGCTACAGAAACATTCCACAGAACTATTTATAAGTGTAATTTTGGAAAAATAGAAGCTTCAAACGCATCAACCTGAAGAGAAACTCTTAGAATATGATCTCTTCCTGACAAGGGGATAGTTTTGCAGAAGGCCCCAGTAAGGAAAAGCCAGTTGTTTTTATTTTATCATGCTGCTTCAGGGCTAGTGTAAACACTGTTTTACCAAGGAGAGGAGTATGGAGCCTCTGGGCAAAGCTAAATGTCTTCTCCCATGTACACTGGCACCCTGTTGGCTACCGTGTGACACTCATCGCACCTGTAGTAGTGCTTACTGACCCATGTCTGTACGAGTCATCAGGACAGAGACTGCGTCTTACGCAGTGCGCTCGCAGTGCACAGCGCAGCCAGTGTAAACCAAGGAGAGGGCTGTGGAGCCTCTAGGCAAAGCTAAATGTCTTCTCCCATGTACACTGGCACCCTGTTGGCTACCGTGTGACACTCATCGCACCTGTAGTAGTGCTTACTGACTGTCCCATGTCTGTACGAGTCATCAGGACAGAGACTGCGGCTTACACAGTGCGCTCGCAGTGCACAGCGCAGCCCAGCAGCGCGTTGGTGCCTCACAGCTTTTCGCACTGAGCCAAAGAAGGAACTGCTGATAAGTTGGATAGGAATTGGGCCTGCTTAGGGAGCGAGCTGATAGCCTGTTCTCTGAAGAGCATGAAAGGATTTCTGTTGTTCATATAAGGAAGTCAAGCCCCCTGAGACAGGGTATAAGAAAAGGTTGGAGATATGGGAAGAGCGAACTCAAGATATATATTTTTTAAAGCAGCGTCTATCCACAATGTGTAATTCTGTCTGGTGTGAGTAGTTGGGGTGATTTGGGCACAAGGAGGCTTGGTGCAGACTCACGGCAGGCAGGAATGTTTGAGAAGATTAATTGGAGTATAAATTTAGCTTCCTCTCCCCTGAGAAATTCCCGTTAGAAAGGAGAAACCCCTGCCATGTTATGGGGGCTGGAGCAGCCACAGGGAATGTGGGGTTACATTTAGGCACGAGATGTAAAGATCACTTAGAAAACGTTTGCTAAGTTCGGTTTGTCATGTAGAGCCTTAAACTGACCCAGATGAATCTGATCTCTCTCTTCTTTGTCAGTGTGTTGGCCCTTTCCTGAGGGCTGGCACTGATATGCTGAGTGTCCTTGTTAATTAAGGGCAGTCACTGTTAGCTTAAGGGGACCTTTTGATTTTGATCATAATTATCTTGATAAAGAAGTAATAAACCTGGCTCGAAGGATGTAAGATACATCTGTCCCCACAGCCTGGCTCACCACCCCTAGACTGGAAGTTCTCCCTGGAGGTGCTCAGGCCCTTCCCTGGAGAGGAGAGTTTGGGCCTTTCACCCCACATGCGTGAAGTAGGGTTGTTTGCAGGTAACCCAAAAGGACTGGCTAAGTTAAGCCAAAAGGGAGTTTATTGGGAGGATGTTAGTTCACAGATTCCAGAGAGCTGCTAAGAAACCCCACGTGGAAAGGGGATCAGAGATCCAGGGAGCAGCCATTACTCTCACCATATCGCTTGTTGGGTTAGACCAGCTTCACCTTGATTCTATTCTTGTACCTCTCCCCCTCAGGAGTCAAATCCCAGGTCTCATTTTCTCAGCTTTGACCTTGTGCCTCTCCTGTGGCTAGGAATCCAGAATCCAGAGATATATTTGACTGACAGTCTCATTACGACAGCCTGCAAAGAGAGAGAGGAATTTTCCTTTTTTTTTTCTTATTTAACTTTATTATTTTTAATTTGATGAGAGAGAGAGAGAATGAGAAAGCAAGCTGCCAGGTGTGGGACTGAAACTGCGGTCACCCATGTGGGACTCCAGCACCCGGGACACCAAGCCACCTGCTAGCCCTCCTTCCTTTTTCTATTTTCTTTTCAAGTTTGCTATAGGGCATATGAACTTGGAGAGAGAGAGAGGGAGGGGAAGTGAAGAAGCACCCCCAGAGTTCCATCTCTACTTTCCTCTCAGGATTTGAGGCATGCACACACACACACACGCACACACACATGTGCCTACCGTGTTTTTTAAGCTGCTGGGTCTGGGACTTGAACCGTTTAGTTGGCCATGTGAGATCCAGTCTTCTTAACCACCACATCACTTGTTGGTTCAGGAGATGGGCTTTTCTGAAAGCAAATCAAAGTGCTCTTGCCACAAGGAGGAAATGGATGCCCAAAAAGCCCTACTTGGCCCTCTAGAGCATGTATACCACACGTTTGGCTTCCTGAGAGCAGCCTCTAGTTTCATTCCCATCCAGGAACAAGAAAGGGTTTTCTTTGGTCTCCTTCCTGTAGGTCATCCAATGAGCATGAGCAAGTGTTGTACGTTTTCCTGAGGGTGTTGAGGGGAGAGATTGGGGAGTGTTAACATTGACCATCAGAGGAAAGTGACTTCCTGAGCTCAATAGCAGGTACTGTGCCTGTCTGGTTTACATCACACCCCAATGCCTTGCACGCAGCGTGGCATTTGGAGGTTTTTGAGATAAATATTTGTTGAAGCAATGATTATATTTAATAACCTAGATTCTCTTTAGGTATCAACCAGTTCCTCCTTTTCTGGCCATCCTTCCCTGATGTGACCTTTCCAGTCCCGTCTAATGCCTGGGTTGATTTAACTCTGGCCCACATCTCTATACTCAGCCAAACAGAACTCTTAGTGAATCAGTCCTGCCCATCTTAGAAAGGCTTATCAAAGTGATTTACCAGATACAAAGCAAGACTTTGTCTAGGTCAGGGATGTAGGTGAGTTCTGCTAAAAAAAAAAAAAAGAAAAACAAATGAGCAACAACAACAACAACAACACACCAAGATTATTTCCATTTGTACATTGTTCTCAAGATTCTGTAGCGGGCTGGGCCCATGGGTGGCGTAGTAGTTAAGGGCATTGGAATCCCTTATGGCCAACTGTGGTTTGAGTCCCAGACCTGATGATTTGCTTTCTCATTTTCCCTTTCTCTCTCTCTCTCTGTGTCTTCCTCTGGTCAAATTATTATTATTATCATTATTATTATTATTGTTATTACTACTATTATTACTTTGAGAGGTTTTTGCTATCGGGTATATGCGCTCGCCAGAAAGAGAGAAAGAGACAGAAAGCAAGAAATTACCCCCCCAGGGGGGATGGTCACGCCACAATTCCTTCTCTCAGGATCTTGGGCACACATGCACACGTGCCGATGTGAGTTTAAGCCACCAGTTCTGGGACTCGAACCGTGGTCAACTAGATGGGAGTTCAGCAACATAGCTATTATGCCAACTGCTGGTCCCTCTCTGGTCAAAATAAACAAATAAATAAAATAAAGTTCAATAAAATAGTTCTTAAAAAAAAAAGATTCTGTAGCAGGTTGGAGTACCAAAATGATGTATGCACACCCTAATTCCTAGAACCTATGACTGTGACCTTATTTGGAAAAAGTTTCTTTATAAGCACAATTAAGTTAAGAATCTTAAGATAAAGAGGTCATCTGGGATTATCTGCTGGGCCCCAAATCCAGTGACAAGTGTCTGTTGAGAGACACGGGGGAGATCTGATAGAAGAGAAAACACAGACACAGAGAAGATGACAGGAACATGGAGGCAGCGGCTGGAGTGTGGCCAGAAGCCCAACAACCCAAGGAACGTTTGGAACTACCAGAAGCTGGAAGAGGCAAGGAACGGAATCTTCCCTAGAGCTTACAGAAGCGTGATCCTGCCAACACCTTAACCTTGGACTTTTGGCCACCAGAACTGAGAGAATGAATTTCTG